TATCATCCAACCAAGATTCAGAGATGGTTATAAATGCCGCCCTAATCGTTTTGTTAGCAGAATATCTAATCTCTGCCAATTTAGGAAGGAAGTGATCTTGTGCATTGCATGAAATAAAGTGAGCCTGTTTTCTTAACAACAATTCATAAATCATCAATATATGGCAAATGGGTCATTTGTATTAAAATTAGGTAAATCATGTCATCACTGCTAAAGGGTAACTGTGCCAAAGTGCAATTATTTACACACAAAATGAATTCTGGCACCGTTGCTATAATTGTACATCCATCTCCATCATGCAACCCACCCCTTACCACATTTTACATAAGGTGCCTTTTCTGTTTTTCATGCGTACTTTAGTACAGCTGAAGTAGTCACCTGTTTGTTGAGTTTGAGTAATAATGGCTGTATTGTCTCACATTGACTATGTATGCATTAATATTGGAGTTAAGGTTTCATCCCTAGCTACTAGACCGTCATTATTGCCGTCATTTATCTGTCTGTGTTATGCCTCTGCACAATAGTTTGAGGTCCTGGATTTAATATGGATATCACCACTTAAGAGCCTACAATAAGAGCTTGTGTGCCATTGTTGTTTGTTTGGGTATGCTCGGTGTTGCCATACCTTGCGGCGATAGTGAGGTTTACTTTTTGGTAGGATGGAACTGTTGGGCTTTTACTGTCCAGGGCGCTGTACTCCATCCACCTTTCCAACCCCCATGACTGATTTCTTTCTTCATAGGAATTGAAGAAGAAATATAATCTAATTATGGCAGGCCTGTACCCCTCTAATGCCTGCCATTTTCGCTCTTCGCTCTTTTATCATTACAATAAATTTATTTTCTCTTTTCCAGTCCCTAGTAACACTTAGTATCTGCTTTAATATTACATGAATTATAGTAAAATTTCCTCTTCAAAACCCTCTTCATCTGCTCACTTTTCCCTTAACTTCTCAAAACCCTTTACAGTTAACTCTTCAAAACCCTCTTCACTGCCCTCACTTTTTCCTTAACTTCACAAACTCTACATTTAACCCCTTTATTACACCCTCCCTACCACCTCACTTCACAGTCTGGCTTACCAATTAACTTCTAATCCTTTCCATTCTGGTAGACCAGAAAGGTTTAATCAATGGTTTTATCCTTCCAAATCCCCCTCAATTCCATTTATCGGGGGTTGTGTCGTGTTGTTGTCTCCTGACCTGTTTTGCTGACTCAGCCATTTTTAAAACACTGAGGGGAGTAACACCACCTGACTTTCCTTGAGTTTATAGATATATTTTGGCTTTTTCTGCTATGATTCTCTCACTGTACACTGGTCAGCTGAATATAGGTCAGCTACTAAAACATTAACCTTGACTATTTAACTATTCACTTCTTTCCCACGACTGGCACTGAGGGATAACCGTCCTATACCTTGGAGTTTTGTACTGTTGATTTGACGATGTCTCCTGTGTTTCCCTCTCGTTAGCACTGGTACAGGTGATATGATGGTGGTACAGATATGATGCTACTGTCAACAGATGAACGTCAGTAAAGATGAGAATTTCACTTCGCTAGTTGTACGTCTGGCAGTAGCTGCTGTTTGAATGCCGGTCAGCCATGTTTAAATGCTCAAATCTTTCCCTCGTTTGGCACTGACGAAAAAAGTCCTACAGACCTGGCATTTCCTTGGAGATTTAGTTGATCAGGATTTCTGCCATGTTGTCTTCCCGTTAAACACTGGTGCAGTTGATATGGAGGTCAGTTATTTCATTTAGTGGAAAACGTCTCATGTCTGGTTCACGTCTGGCAGCAGGTCTGGTACTTGAATGCCGGTCCCTCTTCTGTCATATTTAGTCCATTTCGTTGTCGTCACCGTCAGTTTTTATGTAACTATAGTTAACTTGCATGTTGTTGCAGCAGTACTTGCAAATTTGGCCATCACTGGAGTTCGGATAGGCCCAGGGGACGGCAAGATATAGGAGCAGCCTTGTTGCTGCTTGCTGCGGCTGCAGCTGCAGCTGCAACCTTCTGGAATGGATTAATTACGAAAACTGGGGGTCTACTGTATAAAGAGAAATTTTCTCATTTTGGCATCACCTCTGCTGTACCTTCTTTCTCATTGTTATTAGCATTAAGAAATCTTCAAAAATTTTCTTTTCATCTTATATGACTTGGTTTGTGATTATGTTTCTTTCTGCAAGCCAAAAACTGTATTTTTAATATTTTTGGCAGTTATTTTTAAGCTCTGTAAGCCTGAAAAATTGTATAGCTTGTCTTAACTTTTGTTGCATATTCAGATTTTTTAGGTGCATGTATCATCATACCACAAGTGCATGTTGCAACAAAATATTTGCTCACAATCTTTATACTGTACTGTATATAAGTCATTCATCCTACTATTGCTGTCTCACATTTCTGTATAACACTCCATCATGCATATAGTTATATACCTTTGATGAGTTTCAAGAGTCTTTTTACTCCAGAGCTTGACCAAGGGCCAGGTAATTTTTTTTTTATTTTACATTGGATCTTTGAATCCTCAAACATATCTATGCCATTTTTTTTTTAATCTATGGTTATGCACTTAATTAGCTTGAAGAAACTTACCAAGTTCCTATTACATGTGAAAGGAGGTTTTTTAAAAGCCTTGGACTCCTTGTATTTCTGCTTTGCCCCTCTTGAAGTATTTACTCTATCATACCTACTTTTCTTGTTAGATATTTTAGTGTAGGTTTGTCATATCACAAGTTATCTATCTATGCTTTCCCTTATGTTGACAAATACCTGTTTATGAGCTTCCTGTTTATTGGGTACTGTATGTACATACATAACTTTGCTGCTCTGGCAAGCATGTGTGGTGTGTGGTTGAAGCATAGCATGAGAACTTTCTTTTGGGGGGGGGAGGGGGGCCTTAGTCATTTTATGAATGAAAATTCATAGTTATATAAGATCAAACTTTGTGTTGAGTTTGTGTCAACAAAGAGTTCTTGTCGATACATTTTCATTAGAGAATTGAGGATAAAATTGCAAGGCCCCTTTAACCCTTTGACTGTCGCAAACCTCTTTCTGAGACTCATTTTATGTCGCAAAATTTTTGGAAAAAAGAATTATTTTTTCGTATGAAATGATAGAGAATCTTTCCCCGATGGTAATGACACCAAAAGTATGAAATTTGGTCGAAAACTCACGGAATTATGCTCCCGCAAAGTTAAGTCTCGGCGACATATACGCATCAGTGTTTCGCTGACTTTGAGCCCTGTTTTTAGCCAATTCCGTTGTGCCAGTTGATCAAACTCATAGCTATTTCTTTAGAACTCCATTTCTTCTGTCAGTTGAGTACAAGAAACCTCCCATTTACCGATTTGAACTACCCAATAAAGTGGTCAGAAATTGGCAATTTGGCCAATTTCACACATTAAAAAAGATGCCAATTTCAAAATAGGGTCCAGAATAAACAATGTAGACATTCTTGGCACTAAAATAACATATCCTCTGTTCATTAGTCACATCTCTAGGCCCCTCTTATATTACTATTGCTTTCTATTTTGATTTTTTATTCATACAAAAAATACAAAATTTACTGTTATGCAGACTACTGCATTATTGTAAAAATGGTATAAATAATATCGGTGCACTAGTGAAAGAATATTAGACTGCCCAGTTGATGTGTATTGGACTTGTGGTGTGATTTGCTTACTCCTGGACATTGGTAAAAATCGAACATTTCCGCTACTTTGAGCTCAATTTCAAGGTCGTTTTCATCGTGAAACTAATCAAAATCATCTCTATTTATGTAACATATTTACCATTTTATCACATGAGACCATGAAAATGAGAATACAACGATAAATACTATACGAAAATACACCTCAAATTCGGCGTTTTAATCCAAAGAATCGGTCAGTTGTTTTTTTTTTTTGTCATTATGCACTGCATGCTGCAGGATTTTTTTTATGTGGTGCACACTGACCACACAGACCCATTCTCTCACATGTGGGCCTACCAGCTTTCTCCTGCTTGATTTGAAGTCGCTACAATTTATGCATGTTAATACGTCCGAAACACTGGCTCGTAAGACGTATATATACGACCAAAACAGTCAAAGGGTTAACTGACACCACCCTAATATTGTATCAGCCAGAGGTGATGTGTAGACCTTGGGATGGATGAGTTTGTTTCTACAAACCAGAGAGACTGCTTATCTTGCTTGTCATCAGGATACAGTTGTATTTCCTTCTGCTACTTGATATGGTTGCTCTGCTGATTTATTGGTCAAATGTCAAGCATGTTAAATGTGTTATTAAAGTTAAGATGTTAAATTAGGAAAGTATTAATAATTACATGTTAGGAGATATGCCACTGCAAGATTAAGTATTATTATACTACCTTGCCATACTGCTATTTATAAATAAGACAGTGATTATGTATGAGTATTGGTGAAAGTGCTGAATGATGATGAAGGTTTTATCTTTCTTTTTGGGTTTTACTTTCCTTTTGGGTCACCCTGCCTTGGTGGGAAATGGTTGACGTTTTAAAAAAAAATGCAATAAATAGTGTGATAATTTCATTTAAAATTTGTTTAGTGTGCCTATTTGTACATTCCTTTCAATATTTTTTAGGATAAGCACTCTTCATAAGGTGAGAGATGATGGTGAATATAGTAAAAACACTTAATTTTTCGAGACACCATCACTCAGTATCCATCAAAAATGGCTCCACACCTGTGTGTTTTTCTTAAGACAGGACAATGCTTTTACTATCAATATATGAGTGAATAATCTGCATGGTAATTCACTGCTGTTTCTACTGCATTCTCATTTTTTAATATCTTTGTCAAGTGTCCTATAAATTTTTATTTTAAGGATTATTGTCTTGTATACATATCACTAACCTAGACTTCCATAATAATAATTTAAACCTGTCCATGCTGCATGCAGTTAAAGGTTCCTACAAATGTATTTCCACTTTTTGAGACATTTTTTATAGTACTGATCTAATTTTTTTTTTTTTTGACAGTCGAGACAGTCAAACCTCCTTTGGTGACAGTGGCAGTGTACAGCTGGAGGAAGACTCAGTGGTAGACGAACCTGTGCTTTTTACTTTACCCGAGTTGATTTCAACCTCAGCCTTTGATCTAGAGAACTTTAATACTCTCCTTTTAAATTCTATTGAAAATAAACCACTTGATGCCACTGCTCTCAAGGGAGTCAAGAATACACTTCTAGAGAGTGGGTCCAGGTGAGAACACGTGTTCGTCTATATATTTAACATTTTGTAAACATTTACATTTTTGCTGTTTAACTCTGGTGTCATTAAAATACAAAAATTTTACTGAAAAATATTTTATTGACAGGAACAGATTTATTTTAAACTCATTTCACTTTTTGTTATTTGTAGAGTATTAGCAGCTCACCTAACTCGAGTTGACCTGGAGTTACTAAATGGAACAAGTGAAACTGACCTAGGGCTTGGAGTGACATCTGGCATCGAGCTGGTCACACTACCTCACGGGGCACAGCTTAGGACAGACCTCATAGAAAGGTAAAAACTGTTAATAGGCTTTATGTTATTTCTTATATTGTTTATTTTCTCTGTATTTACAGTAAACCATCGATTAATTCAGTAGTTACAGTCCTAAAAATCTGCGTTTAATTAAGAACATTTGGGGAAAAATAGGGTTAACTTCAAGCATGTCAAACTATTTTTTTTAAATCCCCTTCTGTCAGAAACAATAGCCTTTAAAGTCCAGTTGTCATTTCTTGACGTGGAAGCGTGTTAATAGAGATGTGGCAAAACTGGGCTGAGGTTCTGTTTATGTGGATGCAGAGTTGAAAGTAATTGATGGTTGTACTGGAGTCTACCTGGAAAATCAATATGCTCAATAGTCTGTGAGGAGTCTCTGGTGTGCTTTGCTCTTCAGTACTTTAATAGTTGATGATAAAACATCATTGCTTGCTCCAGAGCAATGCCTCTAGATGCGTCAGTGTTCTTTTTAGTGGAAGTCTGCTATTTTGCAAAAGCATGGAACTGCTCATATATCCAGTATAAATTTTTCTTCCTTTTCTATTTGCATCCCTACCAACAGAAAATTAAGCTCCTCCAGCATTTTCCATACAGATGGTTCCTTATCATCATCTTCTAACAGTTCATTTATATTATTCATTCATATCTTCAAACAGTCATCTCAGAGTCCTTGCCAGTTTTAATTTACTGGACCTAACTCTTTACTGAGGAAAGTATTTGTCAAAGATGGCCATAATTCACCTTGGCCTGCATTTATGGTTGATTGGGGAACTTCATACCACAACACTTATGTGACCAAGTGCATTTGCAATAATAAATTGATGTCAGAACTCCGAGATGCCAGTCTTAAAGCAGCCGTATATTTCTGCAATAAGTTATTCCATTACCTTGCATATATAGTCACACTTACATGTCCTAATGACACAGATTTAGCAAGTGATGAGTAAGTCTCTGGTTCATCGATATAGAGCCAGATCTACTTCCACTAACACTGCCCCTCCACATGTGACTTCTGCTACAATGCTGTACTTCTCCCACTGGCTCTGCTGCTAAGTTGCCCACTAGCATATACCTCTATTACCATATCTATAGCCCACCTTATTGGCATGACCTACTTCCACTCATGTCCCTGTAATAGATTGATAAAGCCCCTGGTGAGTGAAACTTCACAGTAAAGATACCCAGGTGTTGAACATGAGTTTTGTTCAATATTTATGCCACTGAGCTAAAGTAATAATGGTCATTTTCATGGACTGACTTCTTGGTTGCATTTTTCAATAGTGCCAAAACCAGTGGCAGATTTACAAGTCCAGGGACCTGAAGCAGAACATTTAGAGGTCTCTTGCTGCTGTCAACTATTGCACTAGTGAAAAATAAATTTTAGCACTTAATTCAATTGCACAATTTGTTGTATGACTGCTGCTGCTGGCTTGCTGTGAGCATATTGTTGTATAAGTTGATTTTTTCAAAAATAAATATTCATCAAAATATGACCAATTGGGACCTTATATGACCACAAATGTTACTAATAAGGGCACAACTCATGAAGGGGCCCCTCAATAGTTGGGGTCCTAAACAGTCAGGTAGTCTGCTTATTGGTAAATCTGCTACTGGCGAAGACAAAATCACAGTCCAATTCCACTTTATTTGTTGGTTCACTGTAAAATAAATAAATATGTAAAAGAAGTAAATGCTAGGGTGTTCGGGAGAGGGGTGGGATTAAATTATGGGGAATCAAATTCAAAATGGGAACTGACACAGTTACTTTTTGCTGATGATACTGTGCTTATGGGAGATTCTAAAGAAAAATTGCAAAGGTTAGTGGATGAGTTTGAGAATGTGTGTAAAGGTAGAAAGTTGAAAGTGAACATAGAAAAGAGTAAGGTGATGAGGGTATCAAATGATTTAGATAAAGAAAAATTGGATATCAAATTGGGGAGGAGGAGTATGGAAGAAGTGAATGTTTTCAGATACTTGGGAGTTGACGTGTCGGCGGATGGGTTTATGAAGGATGAGGTTAATCATAGAATTGATGAGGGAAAAAAGGTGAGTGGTGCGTTGAGGTATATGTGGAGTCAAAAAAACGTTATCTGTGGAGGCAAAGAAGGGAATGTATGAAATAATAGTAGTACCAACACTCTTATATGGATGTGAAGCTTGGGTGGTAAATGCAGCAGCGAGGAGACGGTTGGAGGCAGTGGAGATGTCCTGTCTAAGGGCAATGTGTATTTGTAAATATTATGCAGAAAATTCGGAGTGTGGAAAATTAGTCAGAGGGCAGAAGAGGGGTTGTTGAGGTGGTTTGGTCATTTAGAGAGAATGGATCAAAGTAGAATGACATGGAAAGCATAAAAAATCTATAGGGGAAGGAAGGAGGGGTAGGGGTCGTCCTCGAAAGGGTTGGAAAGAGGGGGTAAAGGAGGTTTTGTGGGCAAGGGGCTTGGACTTCCAGCAAGCGTGCATGAGCGTATTAGATAGGAGTGAATGGAGACGAATGATACTTGGGACCTGACGATCTGTTGGAGTGTGAGCAGGGTAATATTTAGTGAAGGGATTCAGGGAAACAGGTTATTTTCATATAGTCGGACTTGAGTCCTGGAAATGGGAAGTACAATGCCTGCACTTTAAAGGAGGGGTTTGGGATATTGGCAGTTTGGAGGGATATGTTGTGTATCTTTATATGTATATGCTTCTAAACTGTTGTATTCTGAGCACCTCTGCAAAAGCAGTGATAATGTGCGAGTTGTGGTGAAAATGTTGAATGATGATGAAAGTATTTTCTTTTTGGGGATTTTCTTTCTTTTTTTGGGTCACCCTGCCTCGGTGGGAGACGGCCGACTTGTTGAAAAAAAAAAAAATGTATATCTTTCTTTCTTTCAACACACCAGCCATATCCCACCGAGGCAGGGTGGCTCATAAGGAAAATCGAAAGTTTCTCCTTTTACATTTAGTAATATATACAGGAGAAGGGGTTACTAGCCCCTTGCTCCTGGCATTTTAGTTGCCTCTTACAACATGCATGGCTTACGGAGGAAGAATACATATGTATGTATGTATGTACAGTGGACCCTCGCCTAACGAACGCATCGCATAACATTAAATCCGGCTAGCGATACATTTTAACGCAAAATTTTTGCCTCTGCTAGCGCTAGAAAACTCGCCCAATGCGATTCGTTCCGTTTGAGACGCGTCCTCTTGTGGCCTGAGCGTGCCTCACTTGTCCCGTGGGTGCCAGTGTTTACAAGCCAGCTGCCGTGGTCGCATCCAAACATACATTCGGAACATTTCATATTATCACAGCGTTTTTAGTGATTGCACCTGCAAAATAAGTCACCATGGGCCCCAAGAAAGCTTCTAGTGCCAACCCTACAGCAGAAAGGGTGAGAATTACTATGGATATGAAGAAAGAGATCATTGCTAAGTATGAAAGTGGAGTGCGTGTCTCCGAGCTGGCTAGGTTTGTACAGCTATACCCCAATCAACCATCTCTACTATTGTGTCCAGAAAACGGCAATTCACAAGAAGCTGTTCCTTGCTAAAGGTGCAACGGTTTTCAAAACAGCAGATCGCAAGTGATAGAAGATGTATGAGATACTGTTATTTGTGTGAAAACGAAAAACAGATAGCAGGAGAAAGCATCTCTCAAGCGATCCATAAGTGAAAAGGCTAGGAAGTTCGCATGACGATTTAATTAGAAAAAGCCTGCAACTAGTGGTGATGTTGAGTGAATTTAAGGCCAGCAAAGTTGGTTTGAGAGATTTAAGATCGTAGTGGCATACATTGGGTGTGCTAATGCATGGTGAGGCTGCCAGTTCAGCCAAAAAGCAGCTGAAAAATATGTGCAGGAAATACAAGAGTACATAGACAGGAAGAATAGACACCTGAACAAGTGCATAAGTGTGATAGAAACAGCCCCTTTTTGAACAAAATGCCAAGCTGGACCTACATACCAGGAGGAAAAGGCACTTTCCCAGGACATAAGCCTAATGAAAGACAGGCTTACTCCGTTGAATTGTGTGAGTGCTAATGCGAGTGTGATTGCAAAGTGAAGCCTTTATTGGTTGTATCACACTCTAGAAACACCCTGAGTGTTCATGAAGAAACAATGTCCCCCCCTCAACGGCTAATTTGGTATTTGGAAGGGCAAAACAGTAATGCATGGGTCCCTATAGATTTTTTCTCTATGACAGGTTACACACATTTGCCCCCACTGTGAAAAATTACCTCCTGGAAAATAAAATGGACCTTAATGCCTCCTGGTATTTGACAATGCTCCTGTCATCCTTCAGATGTGGCAGAGTGACTTTCAGGTGTCATAGGGACTTCATAAGGTCAAGTTTCATATTGGCCTCCTAAACCACTCCCTCACCTTCAGCCCATGACCAGCAGGTCACTTGCAAACTTCAAAAAAACTCTACAACAAAAGCTATGATTTGAAAGGTGCTTTGTACTGACCACGAAACGTCAGTTGACTCTAAGAGAGTCTTCTGGAGAGATCCTTTACCATCCTCAATTGTGTAAACATTATAGGTAAAGCTTGGAGAAGTGGACTAAGAGGCTCATTGCACTCTGCTTGGAAAGAAACTGACTGTGGACAGAATGCGTAGACAAAAGGGATTTTGAAGTAAAAGATCAAAAAGGATTTGAGGGAGGCTAACCCTGAGAAGCCTAAGCCAGTTTTGGAATCATTTGTGGCCATTGGGGAAGTCCTTGGGGTTGGAGGTTAGTGGGGAGATGTGGTAGAGTTGCAGGAGGGGGGACAATGATGACTAACCACTGATGAGCCTTGCAAAGATCATCTTCAATAGCAAGATGGCCAACCGAGGAAAACTGCTCCAGAGGCGGGATAGAGAAATTGAGGAAGTTGCCTACTTCAAACTGAATTAAGGAAATGTGTGCATGTGTGGCTTAAAGTGCAAACCATTTTGATGAAAATCACACCTCAGCACAGCTATTGCAAGCCGTGCTGGTTGACTATTACACTGAACAATGTTTGTGACACACTTTAGGAATGTCTAAATGGAAAGGAGGTACAGG